TTTCCCACATATCTTCTCCCCAGCCTGCACTAAATGCAGACAGATCTTAATTTCCAGGCACTCAGAGAGCAAGGCTTTCTGCTGGGGAAAAGGTGATTCTTTGTCTAGATAGTCTGAGTGTATTAATTGTTCCATAATCACAAGTGTGCATGTATCACCCATGTATTGGAAGGAGATATCAGGGGTGTGGGAGAACCAGCTTTGTAGAAGTACAAAAGTATTTTAAAAATTAAGTAGAAAATCCCCTCCAAAGCAACCATTAGAAGAGAGTGTTCCATGTGCTGGTGGAATGTTGATTGCTGAGAGGGGAAAGCTGGGATGTGCGGGGAATTGGAGTGAAGTATCCTGGGAGAAAGCATAACTGCTTTGTTGGAACGTACCACAATGCGACATTTTTATTGCTACTTTAAATCTTGGGCAACTCTGTCCTCAATGCAGGTAACACAGTGCACTGCAGAAGGCTATGACTGCAGTATCCAAAAACTTTAGCAGGCATAGCAAATGGTGAAGAATTATTGGAATTATATGGTAACAAGAAAGTGAGGGGAAGGCATGTCTTTCTTTCCGTAACTATCAATTTTATTTTTCTAGAAAATATGAGATTGAAGCAAAGAGAAAACAGGAGGAAGAGGAGAGGAAAAAAAGGGAAGAAGAAGAAAGGCGAATTCAGGTGTGTGTCATAGTAACTATAGTTATGCTTTCTGTAACTTGCAGCATTAACTTAATGCTTCCATTGTAGACCCACTAAAATCTGGAGCTGAAACCTATTGAAATGTATAGAATCATAAAGTTGGAAGAGACTGTAGAGGCAATCTAGTTCACCCTATTGATGTGCAGGAATACACAGCTAACGCAAGCTTAAGAGATGGCTATCCAACCTGTGTTCAAAAACCTCTAAAGATGGAGAGTCCATCACCCTCTGAAGTGATCTATTCCATTGTTGAACAATTCTTACATTAAATAAGATCCTCTTAATGTTTAGTTGGAATCTATTTTTATTTTGTAACTTGAATCCATTTGGCTGTTTTCTAGTCTATGGGAACAGCAGAAGAAAACAAGCTTGCTCCATCTTCTCCATGGCATCCCTTCAAATCCCCCTCTTTTAGTATTAAAGATGGCAATAATATTAAAAAAGGGGGTGGAGATTATACAGCCTTTCAGATATTGTTGGACTGCAGCTTTCAGCAACCTTAGTACCATCAAGGGTGAGGAATAGTGGGAACTATGGTTCGAACATATTTGGAGGGCTGGATGATTTTCACTTTTGGACTAAAGAAGTCCTTCTGTTTCACAGACAGTTGAGATGGTGTGTGTATGTGTGTGTGGCATCTAGATGTTATAGGCCAGCATCCTGTCAGTGACATATGCAAGTCCAACATACTTCTCGGTATCTCTTTTTTTATTGTTGCTAAGGTTTGTATTCTCTTCTTGCTTCTACAATGACCAAAGACCTACCTCCCCCACCATCTCCATGAGATAACCACCTTCCATGGCCATGCAGTGTTTGGTAGAGTGCTGGGAGGACTCAGTAAACTGTCTGGCTCTGAGGACATAATCAGATGCAGATTGATTGCATCATCTGCCAAGACCTCCAGAGCACCCTGGCAGATCTCTGTGGATAAGGACATCAAACAACATCTGGGAACATGACTAAAGGTGTCTCCATTCCCTCTCCACTGCTCTTCAGCAGCCACTGAATGGCTGTGAAGTAGGGGCTATCACAGCAAAATGCTGACTCCTGGAGGTGGTGAGAGGGGAGCTGTAATGTAGTTCCACCTGCAGAATTTTTATCCTACACTCAGTGGTGCAGTATCTGAGGCACAGTCTAAAGGGGAAGAGAGGCAGAGATAAGAGCTCTCTAAGGGAACAGGTAAAATTTGCTTGTTCTTCAAAGATACTTCTGACCGTTCGTTTTAAAACAGAAATGTAGTGCATGCAGGAGTGCTAGATTTTAGACTGTAATAAACTTTAGCCCTTAAATTTACTAATCTGTTTTCATCCCAATATGAATGTTAAGTGAATCTGAAGGAGAAAGAAGTTCCAATGCCTGAAAGAGAAAAGTACTTGTTACGAGGAAAGTGTCAGGTTTGAGAACTGAGGTTTAATAAGAGAGCTTTTACTATTCATGGATATGACAGAATAATGAATCCATGATCTAGATGTCAGGCTTTTGGAAAGGATTCTTTGCAAAGTAACTTTAATCTGCTGAAGCTTTCACTTATAGTCTAAGTCTAATAGCATCCCAGTGACAAAATATATTGCTTTATAGCTGAATTTTGCTTTTATTATGAGCATTGGATTGATGTGTTCTTTGTTTTGTAATGTGACTTTTTATTAGCTTTCTAAACTGTTGTTAATTACAAGAAATAAAATAAAATTTCCAGATAGTCTGTGCCTGCCAAATGTTTATATAACTAATGAGTATGACATATTAAAGGATACATAATATAGGTGAAGCCTTGCGAATGTGAGAGATTTTATAGAATATATATACCTGAATCCCGTTTGAAAAAAACAAACACAAAACCGACAAAGAATACTTAATCTATTTGCTGTGCTTTGAACCCTATTGTAGACAGGAATTTAGGGCCTTTACACACTGCCAGAAATAATGCAGCTTGAATCCACTTTAACTACCCTGGCTCAGTGCTAGGGAATCATGGGAATTGTAGTTTTTTTCTGAGGCATTGAGCCTTCTCTGTGAGAGAGCTCTGATGCCACAATAAACTATAGTTCCCATGATTCCCTAGCACTGAGTAAGGGCAGTTAAAGTGGATTCAAGTTGCATTATTTCTGGCAGTCTGTAAAGGCACTTAGTGTTATTGAACTTATTGTTTATTGCTTTTATATATTTGAAAATTTTCACCCCTTTTGTTCCTCCAGTGGACTTCAGGGACATGTCTTGACCAACACAGAAGAGAAGTGATGTAGTTATGGGGATTGGTCGGCATTCACCTTATTTTAAAAATTCTCCATATCAGAAAGGAAAATTGCTTGATAATATCATAATGGGAATAAGTGTTATTGCCCATTCATGGCAATTGTTTCAGCTCACTATCATGGGAAGGAAATGTTGGATTGGGCGACTTCAAGTTGATTCTTCAGACTACATTGGTAGTGGTGTGTTGGCATGTGGCTACATAGGACTTGAAGCCACAGGAAATTAACATAGAAAATAGCTGCATAATTTTGGTTGGAAAATACAAAGGTTCATGTGTTTCAATGAGGGTTCCATCTATGTAAATTGTATTTACATAGAGCAGAAAACTGTTATCCTCTTGCTGCATTCTATTCTGAAATGGCCAAGAAGCAAAACTTCAAAACTGTTCTTGGTTGTTGCTTCAGTTTCCTAGATATTCTGTGGCAAACAGCTAATATTTTCAGATTGGGTTAAGGCCCCTTTGGACTGGTTCAGGCTGGATCACTGGATCCACAACTGGTCTGCCTGATCCTGGCCAGGGCTAATGGCCTCCATTGTCTGGACAGGATGACACGATTCTGGGGGGAGCACAGACCTTTTGGACTGTTCATACAGGTCCTTGGTTATTCTTAAAATGAAGGGCTTCATATCACCAAAACAGATACTGATTTTTGTATTGTGTTACTTGCTTGCCTTGATCCACATTGCTCTGGAGCTTTCTTTCTGAGCATGGTTGTAGTGCCCTTTTGGAGACAGATGATTTAAGAGAGGGGTCAGAAACCTCCACCCATCATACTTTATGTCTGCTTACCTCTGAGCAATGATTGGTGGGTTTTTAATATACCCTCTAGAGAACTGAGTGGAAACCTGCAGTTAGGAATGCTGTTCCTAGGGGAGGGGGGACTGGTGAGATGGGGGGGCAGGATCCCCCCCCCCGAAAAAATAGAAAAAAATGATTATGAAACATTTTCCCTTAAAATGATGAATAAAATGTGTTTAAGGCAAGGTGTTCTTATATTTACTGGTCCCAAATTGTTTCTAAAAACTGAATAGCAGGTAGATTTTCATGGAAGAACATACACTGTATTTGACATCATTGCAATTTCTGGCCTTGGGTTCCTTTTTCCAGTTCGTTTGGTGGAAATGAGTGCTTTATGTCTGCTTGGCACTATGAACTACCATAATAATAATGTTCTTCTTTTTAGTAATGGTGATGATTTTTTTGCTGATTTTATTTTATTTTATTTACCTACTCATAAATTTTCTAAGTCAGAGAGGTTCATCTAGCCTCAAACACCCCCACTTTTGTTTGGGATGTTCCCCCCCCCCCCCCCCCCCCCCCCCCCCCGTGGTCTAATTTACTTCATAAACACCTATGGGTGAGTGGACTTGTTAACTTGCATGAAACACCTTTCATCATTGTACAGGCTGAAGTTGAAGCTCAGCTGGCCAGAGAGCGTGAAGAAGCCAGCCAACAACAAGCCGTTCTGGAACAAGAACGCAGAGATCATGAGTTGGCCATGAGAATTGCCCAGAGTGAATCGGAACTCATCAATGATGAATCTCAGCTAGATTTGGGACTGCGCAGGTACTGTACTTTTTTGGTTCTGCTCTTTGAAAAATACATTTCCATTCAGAGAATATATATGTTATTTTAAAATGCTGTTATTTCTAATTTAATAAAGAAAAGTCCACCAGTCTCCATCCTACGCATGAAAACCTCTAATCTAGATGCTATGCTGTTCCAGATGCTGGCTAGGTTGAGCTTAAGTGCTTTCTTCAAGTGGTGAGGGCAGGAAGAGGAAAAGAAGCACTATGAGATAGTAGCTTCCATGTCAGTGGAGCCAGTTGGGAGTTTAGTATGTACTTGAAAGGCACTATTTAAGGTGTTGAACCTCTTTTAGGGGTAGGATTTAATACCTTGGATAGTCTTGGAGCGTATTCTCTGCTCCGTTAAGTTGGAAACCAGTACTTTCTGCTGCCTGTCAACAAAACATGCCTTTTGCTGCAAGTGGAAATTTGCATACAATCAGGGACTGAGAGTAGTCCTTGAATTATGGGGAAAGAAAGATAGAAAGAAGCTAGTGTGGAATAGTGGTTTGAGTCCTGGATTAGAACTCTAGAGACCAGGGTTTGATTCCCAGCTCAGCCATGAAACTCACTGGATGACCTTGGGCAAGTCACACTCTCTCAGCCTCAGAGGAAGGCAGTGGCAAACCTCCTCTGAACAAACCTTGCCAAGAAAACCCCATGGCAGGGTTGCCTTAGGATTGCCATATGTTGGAAATGACTTGAAGGCACGCAACACAAAGATATACCTTCCACAGTCCCTGGACTCTTCCCCCTTCTACCATTTCCTGTTTTAGCTGAATGATCCCCTATACCTTTCTTTTCTTAAAAAAAAAAGTAGCTGAAGCCATCAGAAAAGGTAAGAGAGACACCTTTATCTATAATTCAAGGATTTATTTTTTAAAAAAAGTCCTGGTGGATCTTAGGGTATGAGTTCAACTTGGGAGCTGCCTGTGTCCATCAGACGCACTTTGCTTATCCTTGCTATAAATGTATGTGAGCTTAGGAGCACATGACAATGATTTGTAGAACGATGGGGGTTTCTTTTTACTAGAATGAAGAACACTGCCAAATGCAGACTCTTGAGAAATTTGCCTGCAGCAAAAGCTATTCTTAATAAAATTAGCTTTGAAAGATAAGGTTATATTTGTGCTACATTTATTTGGGATGAGTATGTTTTCCCAGTCTCAACAATAGTTAAATAGTACTGTTGAATGTTGTTTGAAAACATTAGGCAGGCCATGGTTTAAAAAATGGCAGCAGTTGCCCAGTCATTTGGTTTTCTCCATGTACCTTTTATATGCTGTTCAAAGTGTTCAAAAAAGTTTATTTTACATGGTTTTTTATAAGATTGAGTGATGAAATTACTGTAAAGACTCTGACTGATTCCACAAGCAGAAGGATGGACATCAGGCATACATCATTGGAGGCTTAAAAACAAAAACTCAATAAGAGGCCTCCCTACTCTGAAATATGTACCAACACAAATTTTATTTAGTGATTCTCTCTTTCCCTAGCACTTTTAATTAAAATCAAGATAAATCAATTCAGCTATAGGGTTATTGTTAAAAGAGCCTCTGTTCTTTCTCAGATTGTGTTCGTAGGAGCAGCAAAAGCACATGGGTATGGTAGGATGACCCTCAGAGCCTTTAAGGAGGAATCCAGCCATTTTCATGTTAAGTGGATGCTTTTCTGTCACTGGGTGTAGTATGTTATTGTGTCTTGAGCTCTGGGCTACTACTGAGGAGTAATCAAAGAGGAGACAAGCTCCATGTGCTCAACGATGGTAAATGTTTATTAGTGTTTAAAAAGCCCAATGCATTTTCGACCACACTAGTCCTTCCTCAGGGGCCTTCAAAAGAATTCACTGGAGTTGTGAGCACTCTCCAAAATACAGGACCATAGAGATCACTGCACACTACTACTACTACTGAGGGGCTCAACAAATCTAACAGGGTACTTTTAGCTCAGTTATCTTCTCACCATGAATTCCCTTTCGGGGTCTTGTGTAGATAAAATGGGAAGAGAAGAAGAACTATATATGTATCCCTCCCAAGGAATGACAGGATAAAAATATAATGTGTAAATAAATTGAGACTAGGCTTCTGTTAATCTGTAAAGTAACTTTTCTTTTATGTAAGATACCTTTTTAATGTTGCAAATTGGTACAAAACTACTTAGGAAAAGGCTAAACTAACTTGAATGTCTTCTGTTTGCAGACCCAATGGAGCAAGCTGTCAAATGACTGCGTATGGCATTTTCTTTCATTTTTTTTTCTGATTTGGGTCATTCTATCAAAATCTGTGGGTTTAAAAAATTAGAATAATTTTCACACAATAAACCACCTTCTTTCTTTATCTGCAAATACACGTAATTTGGGCATGCAGTCAATACATCCTATTTAACTGTTAATCTTTCAGGCTACCATATTTTCCTGTGTATAAGATGACTGGGCGTATAAGATGAGCCCCAACTTTTCCAGTTAAAATATAGAGTTTGGGATATACTTGCTGTATAAGATGACCCCTCTTCCAACACACACTAAATAAGAATTAAAAAAACCCATCAGATTTGATTTCAATATGGTAATTTTAATTCAGATGCTTATGACATGCAGATACTTAGCAGGAAAACTGTCACTTATAAACACAACAAACTACAGCTCCCATGTTCCCTAGCATCTATTTCTGCAGTGTGTTTTGGACCTTACTTTTTAAAAAATAGTCCAGATTTAAATGCTGCTTTGAAAATTATTTCCATCTCCCAGCTATGAGATGGTTGGGGGGAAATGTGAAAGCATTGGGGGGAAGGACTGCCAATATACTAGGTGATGCATTCTGGAGTATGTACAATTTGCGGCCAAATAAGTGACCCTGGGCATGTCACACACTCTTAGCCTCAGAGAATGGTTATGGCAATCCCCATTTGAAGAAACATGCCAAGAAAACCCCATGATAAG